CATCCCCACCCTCTCTAAGATGACATCGGAATTAGAGATAAACTCCATTGAAAAGAAATCCTGTGATTAACAAACAGCAATAATAATCTTTACGTCTTTATTTACTTGAGAAGCTTGTGTCCCTTTCAGTGTTTGGATTTGTCTATAGTATGAAATGTTAGAATTAGCCTGGGGAGCTCTTGAAGATGTGACCTAACTATGGATAATTTGAAACCCAATATATGGTGAGCCACAAAGAAAACCATTTAGAATAAAATTAGGCCTTGATATGATATAATAAACACATTTTTCAAGCACCATAAACATTACATAAACATAGTCATTTTGTAACAAGAAAGAGTACCTTAGTCTCCCTTGAACGGAAATGAGGAGGGGAGTGATGAACATCTGATTTAACTTTTTTAACCCCCACTGAGGCTAGCATGAGGGGAAGTAGTTCTGCATCAGCAAGCTCAAACATAGATATGTAGGAAAAAATTCCTTGGCTTAGATAGCAGTCACAGCTGAGGTAGCTCTTGCCATGACAAGCCTATTTAAATCAGGAAAGGGAGGTGGTGTGTGGGGGCCTTTTTCTAAGAATTAAATCAGATGACTGTGAAGGTCACCATAGTCTCTGATTCATGATAAGGCGGTGGACTGTGAGCTTTCCTTTCAAGTCTATTAATATTTTGAGATCAAGGAGACTCCTTTTAACTGGCAACTCTATGCTCTCTTGGATTTTCTCATTCCCTTCAACTTCACTGGGCTTTTAAGTGTTTCAAACATTTGATTCTAGAGTCCTGGCATCTCCCACACTCTCATCTTTGTCTGGAGTGTGCTTTTCAAAATGTTGTCTGAGAGAATATGTGGAATTTGCTTCTCGAAGAGGTTATAGGGTTTGTGACTACCAGCCTGGTATATAGGAAGGTTCCCATAAATACCGAGAAATTAAAAACCATGGTTAGTGGGTACTATTGTTGAAGTAGAGTATCTATGTCCCAGACTCCAGAAGTCACTCAGGGCATTTGCCTTTCAAATTATGCAGGCCCATAAGGAGCATTTAAATTTTTTTATTTGATTGGTTTTTAGAGAGGAAGGGGGAGAGAAGAGAGAGAGAGAGAGAGATTTGCTCCACCTATTTATGCATTCATTGGTTGATTATTGTATGTGCTCTGTCCGGGGATCGAACCACAAACTTGGGGTATCCAGACAATGCTCTAATCAACTGAGCTAAGCTATCAGGCCAGGGCAAATGAGCATTTAATAATAATAATTTTATGAATTGTTCCTTTCTATCAGCCATATGGACAGTTAACCCAGGCATTGAAATAAGATAGGGACAGGAATGGGGGTGGGAGGAAGGCAGAGGAGAGAGAATAGAGATTGCAGTTCTAGAACCTCCAGATGGCTCTGCCTGTCTGCCAATAATGCATTTTAGTTCTGAAGGTGCCGCAGGCCCTCACCTGGGTACGGTGTCGGCCCCCGCAGACTGGCTATTAGTGCAGCGTTCTGGTTGGCCCTGGCATTCAGCACGATTACCTCTACATTCTCCGCACATGGGCTACTTGTGTGTTCTTTGGTTGACTGGAGAGAGCCTTAGGGTTCCAAGCTGGGATGACTTGTGTGTCAGCCACTATTGCCAGAGACCCTGGTGCCCCTGACAGGCCATTTCACCTGGAAAGCTGGGGGGAGACCACGGCAGCCTCCTCAGGAACATTGATGTGTATGTGTAGGTATAAGGATGTCCTCCCCAAATTCTTACCTGACAGTTGAACTAGCTCTTCTGCTCCAGCAAGGCCTGGGCTCAGAATTAGCAAAACTAGGACAGAAAACTTGGCTTTTGATGCTGCAGGAAGAGGCAACAAGTATTTTCAAGTGTCCCATCCCCATCCTCCCTCCTCCTGGGAGAGGAGAAGTCCCTTCCCGCCTGCAGTGGACTCGCTCTGGGGTTTGCTCGGCCCCCAGATGGACGTGTACTGTATTTGTGGGGTGCCGCCGACTGGGTGGTGTGAGCTGAGATCACATCACGCCAGACCCGGTCACAAAGAAAGGTTCTGTCTGGCTGAGCTGGTTCCCCGCGCTGTGGCTTTTGTCACGGTAGAGACTCTGAAACAAATGCTTTCCTCTGGCCCAGGATCTGTCACTCAACGTGATGAAAGTGCCTTTTGTGGACTGTTGCTGCTAGAGGCGGTGGGTGGCTGTGTGGCTCCGTGTGGCGCTCGCACAGGCCTGCTAGCTCTTTCTTTGGCGGTTCTCCGGCTCCCTCCATCTCCTGTCATCTCAGTGGTCCATCCCCAAATGCATTGTTTGTGCTGC